TTCCTATTCATGTTTAGAAGAAATCAATTAATAATTAACACATATATTTTTTTAAGTTTCATAACTTTAACAAGAAATCGGTTATTGTCATGATTTACATTGCTTACCCATCATATTCTCTATAATAGTAGCTTTAATTTGAGTATTAAATCTTGGGTTTCCTATTCATAGTTTTAGAGAAATCAATTAATAATTAAACACATTACTTTTTTTAAGTTTCATAACTTTAACAATAAATTACAAGAAATCGGTTATTGTCATGATTTACATTGTTTACCCATCATATTCTCTATAATAATAGCTTTAATTCACGTATTAAATCTTGCGGTTTCCTATTATGAGTATAAAAAATCAATTAATAATAAAACACATTACTTTTTTTAAGTTTTCATAACTTTAACAATAAATTACAAGAAATGTGTTAGACTCAGGATTTACCTTGCTTAACCATCATATTCTCTATAATAATAGCTTTAATTTACGTATTAAATATTAAGTTTCCTTTTCACAGTTTACGAGAAATCAATTAAAAACGAAACACATGTAATGTATTTAACGAATAAAATACGTGAAATTTCACATTGAATTAAGAACATATTCGTTAAATTTATAACTATGAAGATATAGAGATTCTATTGAAAAATAAAAATTGTTTATTAAAATCATGTCAAGTTAAAGTTAACTTTCTTAACGTTTCTTTGGAGATATTAATTAATTTTGATAATGTTATATCGTTCGCTGCTCGTAAAAGTTTCGGCTAGATCAACTATTATGATGCACGCGAAGGTTATTTTGTGGTTGGGATGAGTCACAAGTGAAAGAGCGCGCAATTAAAGGAGCATATAAACAGTGCATTATCAATAAATCAGTAGTAATTTCAACCAAAATAAATAATTATGTAAATTGAATTTTGTAAAAGCAAATTTATTCTCATTGCAACCTTATTTCTGCTTGTTATCACTTTAATTTACATATGTTGATATAATGTTTATATAATTAAAGAGTTCGATGATTTTCTGAAAAAATAATGAAACTGTACTATTCATTTTGATTTATAGAGAGAAATAATTACTTTAGAAAATATTTATGAAAATTGTCTATTAAAAAAAAACTTGATATAAATATGAAAATATTATTGGGGAAAACAGAAATATTTCATAAAATACGTATAGGAATGTTATCTAATGGAAATACTCTTTGCAAAAAAAAAAACAGATTAACATTTCAATTAGGACTTTTGTTCAGTGTTTTATCATAATATTATTGTGATATTGAAATGATTAAAGGATATTTAATTATTTTCTATCAAATATACTTTATTAATTAAGTATGTAGACATTAGTGAACTGAATATTTTAGAGGTATGTTGAATAATCCTATTGATTTTCCAAATGGAAATCAATTTTATTTCAATAATTTTGTTTAATTGTTCAATTGAAATTGGGAACTTTTTCGAGAACTACATTAACTATATTTTGAAAGATTTTTCAAACGTCTGAGCAAATATTAGTGTCCATTACATCCAATATATTCTTGTCCTTTATTTTAAATTTAATAAAGTAAATTTGTGTTAGTTTATATAGTTTTAGTTTATATAAATATGAAAAAAAATCATTTTATTATGGGGAAAAACAAAATTAATTCATAAAATACGTATAGGAATGTTATCTAATGAAATACTCTATGCAAAATAAACAGTTCAAAATATACTTTATTAATTAAGCTTGTAGTGATTTTTTTTCATATTTATATAAACTAAAACTATATAAACTAACACAAATTTACTTTATTAAATTTAAAATAAAGGACAAGAATTTATTGGATGTAATGGACACTAATATTTGCTCAGACATCTAAAAACTCTTTCAAAATATAGTTAATGTAGTTCTCGAAAAAGTTCCCAATTTCAATTGAACAATTAAACAAAA